TCCGTATGCAAATGCAGTAGATACATTAATGTATGCGATGGTTTGTACGAGACCAAATATTTCACATGTTGTCAGTATGATGAGCAGGTATATGCATGATCTAGGAAAGGGTCACTGGCAGACAGTTAAGTGGATTCTACGGTACATTTATGACACAACTGATATTGGTTTGAAGTTTGAGAGGGATAATAGACTCGGAAAAAATTTAGTTGGTTATGTGGATTCAGACTATGTTGGTGACTTAGACAAGCGTCGTTCCACAACAGGCTATGTGTTTACACTTGCTAAAGAGCCTGTAAGTTGGAGGTCAACGTTACAATCAACAGTAGCTTTGTCAACAACTGAGGCAGAGTACATGGCAGCATTAGAGGTAGCATTGATTGATCACGAGGATTAAATGGAAAAATCTTGCCAACGTGGAGATTTGTAGCAAATTGTCAATATTTTTCTCAACTACCATCAACCACCCTCTCCTTTCCCTTTCTTTATAATTATGCTTCCATTTCTCCTGTAAACAGATTAAAAAGAGAGAGACGAGAGAGTGCATAGAGAGTGCAGTGTGTGTGCAGAGAGAGGAAGACAGTGCAACTGTGAGAGTGAGAAAATACAGATTTGAGAGAAACATCGAGTGTAAGAGTGAAACATTAGGTTTTGTGAGATTGTACTGGGTTGAGTTGAGTGTTTGTATAATTCCTTTAATAATATACAATCTGCTGCCTCCGTGGATATACCCGGTTTTGGAAAACCACGTAAATTTGCTTGTTTGTGTTTTATTTATATTTGCTTTCGTCTAGTATGCACAACAATTTTTTTATAAAATAAAAATTAATTTTAAATTAACTTGAGTCAAATTAAACTCATAATTCAAAATATACCATAAGTTAAATCTTAAAAGCTATACATGGTTTTTCTTTTATTTTAAGATTTTTTATGAAATTTTATATTTTATTAATTCTTCCTTTCCTTTCAACAAATTTTACTTTCTAGAAAGCATAAATAATTTTTATTTATGCGTGGATTTCTAAGAAAAACTTTTTATTATAATTGTTAGAACAAGTTTCAATTAAAAGAAAATAAAAATTATAGCTTAATAATTTTTATAAGATTGAATGGAAAAATGACAATAAAATTTAATTTTGAAAAACTGTACAAAATTTAATAAAAAAATTATTTTTTTATTAAATATCCATGAAATTATTTTTTAATTACCTAAGTAATTGATCAGATATTATTATTTTTTAAATAAAGACTAATATTAGCATTTTATTTGAAAAACATGTTATTATTGAATGTTACTAAAAAATAATAATTTTATTTCAAGATAAGTAGCCTTAATTTCACAAATGATTTTGTTCCTAAATCCAATTTATTAAAAAACAATTTTTTCTCTTCAACACCTAAAAATCAAGTTCAAGAATTGAATTATACTTTTCAGATTTCTATTTTTTTTTTCCTCGACGGTATCAAAACTCCGGCCATATCAAAACTCGTGGCCACCATCAACAAACTCCTCTCCTCAGCCCCATGACTAATTTCTTGCTTTTTTTTTTAAAAAAAAAAAAAGATTTCAATTTGTATACGATTAGTAATAAAATGCAGGAACATGACTGATTTTTTTTTTTTTTTTAAAAAAAAAGATTTCAATTTGTATATGATTAGTAATAAGATGTAGGAACATGACTGGTTTTCATATGATATGAATCATAGGTTGCAAAAACCTTAGATAAATGCTTCCGTGCATTAAAGCATATTGCAGAAGTGAAAGCTCATAGAACTTGTACACATTCTGTAGTTCTCATATATCTTCAGGGCACTAGCAGGATCATAAATCTCTCTTTTCAAAGTTGGCAAAGTGAGGATGTTGGTTCTGTAACTGTCCTCACCTTTATGCCTAGTCAAACCTCGTATAAAATGAACTTGAAAAAAGAAACACATGTTTTATCATGAAGACATCTACTTTGTGTGGTTCTCAAAGTTAGAGATGAAGAGCTAGAGAATTTATGTCTGGTATTCTTACTTTCCTAACACCGTATTTTTTCTTCCTAAGAGTTGCCCCATCATATGTTTCTTCTTTTGTTCTAATTTCATAATTATAGTTGTAAATTGGTGTGGTTGTGAAGATAAGTGCCTTCAGTTTTTTTATTTATCCCAGAAAAAATCTTCTGAATTAATGGAAGTATATAATTTCTTTCTGCTGCATTTTTATTTGTTAAACATTGTATTTAACAAGTTATATCTCCTCCCCCTCCTTCTAATAAGATTAGAATTAAGTCAGTTTAGAGAGAAGTTGAAGAACGAATTCCCATGTAGCAAATGCAAATGCATTGGGTGCTTTGTATGTACCTTTGGAAAACATGTATTCCAATGTAATTTCTAACTAATTTCATGGAGTTTTTCTGTAATTTTTTTGTATCCAACTTTATGAGAAGGCCTCTTCAGCATATACATTTTATCTCTTTTTACATATATTAGTTGAAGAGATATTTCGAAGTAACAGGCTGAAGTATCGATGAAGAAGAATTAATTAATGAGGCTTTTCAAGCTGGTGCCAGGGCTCTTGGCTACCATGACAAAAGGAAAGGATTCTTCTAGCAATCAAGGGAGTGAAAATGGTAAGAAGATGAAGAGAATTGGGAGGTTTCAATGGAGGCAACGGAAGAAGAGAAAAGGGTTTGGTGGAAAATTATTGATGCATTTGAATTCAAAGAGAATGAATAGATACAATCACTATATCAAGAGAATAAGGGATGTCCACCACATGTTTGATAAAAGTTCTTTTTGATTAGGGTTTTTAATATGATGAAAATGTTGTAATACTCAATGTATAAGAGGGCTCTTTAGTTATTATATAGAACATAATGGAAAACCTATAAATAATCTAACAATTTTAATATCATTGCGTGCTTTTTATTTGTTTGCTTTTTAAACACTTTAATAGTTTTGGTACTCAAATTAACATGCTTATTTATGTTATTTAGAAATTTTTAAGATTTATAAATTTAAAAATAATGTGTAATTTCACGTTTTTTAGGTGTTAATAATTTGTTTCATCAATGATGGTTTTTTTCTTAATTAGAGATGAGATCTAATTTACATTAGTATGGATCAATTTACATATTAACTTTTGAATATATTATAATATTAATATTTTATTAAGATTATATTAACTCTAAAAAGTGTTATTGATAAATCCGTGAAATGTTGTTGTTGTAATGAAAAATCTCTTTAATATATATATATAAGAACTCCATTTATTCCTGCCTTAATTAGTAAAATTTCCATAGCTTCAATAAAAATTACAAGTTACATAATTATTATTTTTTTACATCTTAGGTAAATTTTAAATTTGAACAAATAGAAAAATCTACCCTAACATAAAAAATAAAAAAAAATAAATCAAATCTTTACCACGATTTCTGTCAGGGACAAACTCCTAAAAGCCACCCTCTCCGACTTCAACTCCGACAGAGAACTCCAAACCACCACAATCTCTTCCCTAACATCCAACAAAAAATCAATCTTCTTCGTCATCCCAGGCGCCTTCACCCCAACATGGTCTCAAAAACACCTTTCAAGCTTCGTGGAGAAATGGGAAAAGCAAAAGTCAAAAGGGGTCGATACAATTGCATGCATATTAGTGAATGATGTTTTTGTGTTTTTGTGATGAGAGCATGAAAGGAGAATTTGGTATAAAAAATGAAGATGGAGTGTGCTCTCGTCTAATGGGAATGGGGATTTTACAAAGGCAACTGGGTGAGAGTTGGATTTGAGTTATCAAACTAGTTGGGCTAGGAGTGAGGTCAAGGAGGTATGTATTATTGATGAAGATGGGGTTGTTAAGGTTTTTAATTTGGAGGAAGGCGGAGCTTTTACTTTTAGTGGAGCTGATGATATGCTTAAAGCTCTTTGAATTTTCTTTTGCTTTCAATTTACTTTGATTTTGGGTTCCTCTCCAATTAATAAATTATAAAAACCTTGAATCCTCGTGTTCTGTTATAGAATGAGGAGGAGTTTTCTTCTTGTCTTTTTTCAAGTAATGATTGAAAAGGTTTTTGCCGAAGTAAGTGTTTTTAGTGGCTGAGTATGGTGCAGACCAGTTGCTTGGGTTTTACGTTTATTAAAGAGTAGGAGAGGGTTTTTTTTTTTTTTTCATGTAGTTTCTTTTGATTTTTCTTTTACTCTCTCTCTCTCTCTCTCTCTCTCTCTCTCTCTCTCTCTCTCTCTCTCTCTCTCTCTCTCTCTCTCATTTATGGTGTGTAACTTGAGCGGCAATTTTGTTATTTAATTTAACTTGAGTTGCTCTCTGGTTAAATTGTCCGAACTTTTTTGTTGATTTTTTCTATGCATGTAAATGAGGACGTAAATTATTTACAATTTAACTATAATTTCCAAGAAGAGTTGTTATTTTTTTCTTTGATCCATCTATTGTAATTTGCTAAATGTGCTAAAAGTTACTAGAATTAAAACAACTTAAATGTAGCAAGCATCCTCAATGAAATCCCGTGCAATTGGTCGGGGCTAACGAAATCACCTCTGCGCTTGTGATGAACAACAAATTAAATAGCCAGAATTGATGAAGGCAAATTTTGATGATTGTTAGTGAGACTTGGATCACACGAAAGTGTTCATATGAAGATGTTGGTGCTCGGTCGTGATCAACCGACTGAAACCCACTGAATTGCTAGTACGATGAATAGGTTGTGTATGTGCTGCTTCACTGAAATATTTTAGAGAAGACGACATTAGGCAATTAAGGTTAGGGCAGAATGGGCTAATTCATGTGCGTAAAGTTTCTAAACATGTCCATGTATGATAATCTTTTTCCTTACAGAATAGTTGGTGAAAAGTCAATGAATTAATCGAATCGATTAGGCCACCTGTGACGCAACTTGAACTTGAAGTTCTTGGAAATTTCACATTTTTTAAATGTTGCGTCAATCAGTACACGAGGAAACTTCCCCTTTGGCTTTCTCTGTCCATTCTCAATATATTCTTTTCTTGCCAACGACAGAACAGGTTAAATGAGAATGTTAAGATTCCTCGATTGTTAACAACAAATGGGCAGGTGTCCTGGCTTATACTTCGATATTGGCAAGAAAGCCAGAGGTATAATTAATTACCACCTGCGGCTCTGAGCTTCTTAATCTCATCTTTGTTTGTCTATTACAACTTCACTTCCCTCGATACATCCATATATTTTACTTGTTTCATTTTTTTTTTTCTGAATCAGATGTTCTCTACAAAGATTATGCTCAGCAGCCACCAACATACTTCAATTACCAATGCTTCAAGTGGAATTTCGATCTTTCCTGTGAAAGTAATCTGTCTCCCTCTTCATTAAGATTTTCAATTATGATAAGTTCAATCCTTACTTTTCATGCATTGTCTCGTGCCTTCATTACTGTCTTCTGAAGAATTGGATGCGTACCTTATGCGTGCCTGTTGCTTCAATTTGCATGCCTGCGGAACAGAGTAATTAGAAATGGTGTTAAGAGAGTAGATACTACACCCTGCATGACTCGCATCTAGTTTCTGACTTCCCAGGTTTGAAATTCCCGCATTTTTTAAACTTTGAAGGAGATTAATCTATATATGGTTAATTATAATAAAGTTCCTTTTTAACTTTGAGATCATCAGATAGATTATCTCATAGTTTTCACATTTACATTCTGTTGTAAATGTGAAATGGTGCTAAGGGAGTAGATACTACACCCTGCATGACTCGCATCTAGTTTCTGACTTCTCAGGATTGATATTCCTGCATTTTTTAAACTTTGAAGGAGATTAATCTATAAATGGTTAATTATGGTTAATTATAATTAAGTTCCTTTTTAACTTTGAGATCATCATATAGATTATCTCATAGTTTTCACATTTACAGTCTGTTGTCATAGGTTTCCCTCCCCTCAGTGATCTGCATTCGATAATGTAATGCATATGCTTCGTTGCTCTGTATAGGCACCCAGATGGGTAGAGTATACGGGCATTTCGTAGCTCAAATGAGTTTGAAATAATGCATATTACCGGATCTGCCTGTCTTCTTTTTGTTCAACCATAAAATCTGAACATGTTTTCCATCTAAGGTTGGATTTGGAAAAATAAAATATTTAGCTAATTGTCTAATAATTGTCATCTCGTTGATTTTCATGATTCTTGCAGCTCAAGAAATTTTGCCAGGACTCACAACAGTTTTCAGATTTACAATTCCTGATTCTAGCAACGTAAGTAAGAAGTTGAGTCACCTTTAGCTACCCTTCTGAACATCTATTTACAGTCGTTAACGTCTTGAGACTTTTGACAACGAATTATTTCTCTCTTTTCTGACTTATTTTGGAGCAAATCAAAGCATGACACTCTTGAGATGTAGTCATCATGTTTTAATGTCCTCTAAAGGCAATGGTGACTGCAATAACAGGTGGAAGTGAGATTCATGCAAAACTATTTTGGGATTACATCAGGCGTTGGCGTGAAGGCATATCAACAAGGATCCTTCAAAGGAAATGGATATAACCCAATTGTAAATTTCTCTGGTGTGATTGGAAGCACTCTTTTCTCCCTTGGGACTGACATTAGCTTTGACATATCAACAAAGACATTTGACCAATTCACTGCCGGCTTAAGCTTCAACGGTCCCTTCCTTATTACTTCCTTGACATTGTGAGCAATCTTGTGCCAAAATTGAGGAAAAAAAAGGAAAAAGAATAAAGAGTTATCTTTTTGCTGTCTAAACATTTCTTATACTGCAGGGATGATAAACTTAACACTTTAAAAGCTTCATGTTATCGGGAATTGAACCCTCTCACCGGGACTGCCATTGCAGCAGAATTGAAGCATAGCTCGTTGTTGAATGGGTCAACAACACTGACAATTGGAGCGCAGCACGCGTTGTTTCCATTTACATTGATTAAGGCTCGTGCAAACACAGAGGCCAAAATAAATACACTTATTCGGCTAGAATTGTGGGAAAAAGTCCTCCTATCCATGAATGGAGAGGTTGATTGCAGGGCCACAAACAAGATTTCGAAGATTGGACTTTCTGTGGCTCTCAGGGCCTAAATTTACATGCAACCTGTGCGTTTAGTACATGTCTGCTTCTTAGCTAACAAGATGAATTTCCAAGAGTCTCCAGTGCGGGTGAGAAGCAGATGGATTATTTGAACTACTTCATACTTCGGTATGTCATGTGATCTGCGTAACATGAAATAAATAAGCGAAAGCAATGGCGATACCCAGATATTCCTATAATGTTATGACATGTCATTACTATGAGATATTTGCATTTTATAAATTTCAAAACATTTGTTTGGACTTTTTCTTGGAATCAAATGGCGGGAAGATAAAACTTATAAATTATAAATTATAAAGGATTCTTACATGAATCACTACAAACAGCTTCTCCATACAAGCACATGTCTGACAAATTGTTTAAGCTTCAAGGCTACGTTCTAGAACTGTCCTGGTTTACTATATATATTGTAACCATAAGTGTCTAGATAGTCTATGCGTACCATAACTAATTTCTCGAGGTTCTAAAGTTAACGATTAGGTAAGCCTCTAGTGACCTTTAAGTTTGTGACATTTAAACCGTTAATTTCTAAAAAGTAAATTCAGGGTTTGACTAGTTAAGTTACAACCGTCAATGTTTCCTGATTTACTATATTAATTAGATAGGTGACGTGCGACAATCCACAAGCAACATAATTTTTTTCTAGTAAGACAACCTTGGTGTTTTCAAAGAAGTAAAAAAAACCCCCGAGATTTTAGTTATTTACTTGACTAGTTTTAATAAAGTCCTATAATTCCAATAATATAAATAAAAAATATATAATGACAATAGAGAAACTGATAAAAAAATAACGAGGAAAACAAAAGAAAAAAAAACTAACCCAAGCTCATTTTGGTTAATATTCTAAATTTACAACTTAGTCGTGATACTAGGGTAACCTCGTTGAAAGAAAAATGAATTAATAAATGAAGGTCAATTATTAAATAACATAATATTGAAGAGTATAATTAAAAAAACATCAATTTAAAACAAAAGGTAACAAATTGTTTTTTCACTCAACCTGAATTAACCCATTAACCTTGTGAAAAAAAAAAGAAAAAAAATGAATATCAATTCTCAATAAATCAACCATTGTTGAAAGTTGATATTTTTTTTAAAAAATAAAATATAATAAAGAATCTAGAAAAAAAAAAACAAAGTCAATCTACGTTACTATTCAAAACTCATGGCCTTGGTTATGAGCCTAAGATTAAGTAGGGGTAAGCAAAAAAACCAGAAAACGATTGAATCAAGAAAACTGAAAAAAAATAACAGGAAAAGCTGATTAAATCGATTAAAATTTTAAAAAAATTAACTGGTTTGATTCTGTTTGGTTTTGGTTTTATAAGCCTAAAATTGAAAAAATCAAACCGTACCGAAACCGGAAAAAACAGGAAAAAAACCAAGTCAAACTAGGGTTTTGAGCCAAACTTGAAAAACTGATCCAAACCAAAAAAACTAAGTCAACAAAAAAAAACCAAACCAAATCAAAAAATCAAGTCAAACCAGTTTGAACCAGTTTTTGTTCTAAAAAACCTAACCGAACCGAAGCTGACTGGTTTGAACTGATTTCAGTTTGGTTTTGGTTATTTAAAAAAATTTTAGTTTGGTTATTTTTTTAATAAAAACTTAGCCGAATAGAAAATGATCACCTTTAAGATTAATCCTATAGAAGACAAACCCTTAAAAATAATAAAGTAAAATTCTCAATCACAAAATAATAAAAGATGAAATTGAAAAGGTAAAAAAAAAAATGAAAAAAGAAAAAAAATTAACAGCAATAAAAAGAAAGAGGGCCAAATTTGATATAAAAATAAATTGAAATCAAATATTACAAGATAAAATTAAAAACAAGATTCAATTAGAAAAATAATAAAAAAGAAAAGGAAAAAAAAGGATGAAATTGAAAACAGAATTCAACTAGAAAAATGGTAAAAAAGAGATAAATAGCAATTATGAGAATGCAAACCGAATTTGATATAAAAATTAAATAAAACTAAACAATGAGGAATAAAATTAAAGAAATAAATTGATCTATAAAAGATTTTTTTATAAAAAAAAATAGCAATAAAAAAGATAAAGACCAAATCATATACAAAAAACAAATGAAATAAAACTTTTGTATTTTATCAAGGAGAAAAGAAAGAAATTATGAAGAATAAAAAAGTTCACCAGAGCCATACCGTTAACTTGCCATCGTCAGGCACCCCACCACCTATAAGATCTCAGTGCACCATTTTTAATACCATAATGGAAGGTAGTGTTTGACTATCATAAGAGCCCTTATGCACCACCCAAAAAGCACGAGCTTCTTCCACTTGAATGCAAGCACCATCCAATTTCTCTTTTAAATCATATTTTATATATGTTAAAATAGTTAATTTTCCCTAAGTTTATTTGATAGTTATATATAAAAAAAAAAACAGAAGAAGTTATAATGAAATGACTAAAACATTATTGGATCAAATTTCAAGAAAATAAAATTTCAAAGGTAATTAAATAATTATACTATGTAAAAAAGTAAAAAGTTAAAAAAGTCTTGAGTTTTTTTTTTTTTTACTTTAAGGGTAAATTCATAATTTTGCTATGCATCGTATAACTTTTCTTTTGTCTTTCACTTCAGCCAGCTCACTTTCCAGCATCATATACTTCTTATATAGCCTTTCATACTACTCAATCTAGCTTTCTAACTCAACTTGGGTCTTTAAAGATATATCAACCCTTTTTCACAATCATTGAAATTGGTTTTCAAAGCCTCTAATTCAGAATTAATTTACATCCAATGTGCTCTTAATTCTATTCACACTTCCTCAGCTTGGTTTTAAGTAGTCTTTTCTTCTTTTAACTACTTCTTTAAGAACATGATTTTCTTATCCTTTTCCTCGAGCTATTACTCTACAAACTTTTTTTTCAATGATGAATTGCTCCTCGAGGGATATCTTGAGGGCTTTGCTAGAGTCTAACTTCATTTGGAGCTTTTCTAATTGTTCTCTCAACTCCTCCATATTGCTAATCCTCTTTTTCTTTTAATTGGTTCAACAGCTTATAAGCCTCAGCTTCAAATCAAAGAGTTATGGGAATGGTGACTAATGATAGATTTCTCCACTTCAGATACTTTTCACTAGTAATTGGATCTCTCAAACTATTTTATTTCTTTTTTGGTAAAACCAGAAGCTTTCAGTCTTGCTTGATGTTTTCCATAACTTCCAAAGTAACTTAGTCCTTGAATAACCTAGAGAAATAGGATAACTTAGTTCCTTGGCACATGTTGTACGCCCTCAAGTTTTCTTACTACCAAAGCAAACACATAGATGATATATCTAGTCACTCCAATTAGAAGCAACCATCATTTTTTCCCCACAACTCATCAAGCAATATGTTAATCTCATCAATAAGGCTTTCCATTTCATTTCTCCTTATAGGATTCCTTGCAAATTTACTTTTCAGTTTTCCTCTCTCAAGTACCTCAACTCATTTTATTTAACTATCTCCAATGTTTTTTTACTAAACCACTAAAAGTTATAAAAGTGTCAAGTATTTATTGTATCAAGTGTTATACAACATAAATCTAGATTAGTCATTTAACAAGCAAAGTATTAAAAAGTGAATAAGATAATAAATACAAAACTTGTTAGTATCAAGCATTAAAGTCCATGTTAAGTTTACACTATACTTATTTTTACACCATTAGTGTAACATTTTCACCTTGATATAATAAACGTATCTAAACATAATGAAAGAGAGAAACATAAATAAACAAGATAAGAACATAAATAAGATAGAAATTAACTCAGCAAAGAAAAGGAAATGAAAGGTATAAACAAGATATTAATGAAAGCAAAACTTAAACATTATAAAAATACAAAGAGAGAAAAAAAGAGCATGATCTTGATTTGGAAACCAAAATACCTAAATGCATGCCAAATACCTCCTTTTATAGGCCAAAATTAGGAACTATTGATTTGATAACTAATTCATGAGTGGGTGACCAACTCTTGACTTGGTAATAATCCTTATCTTTTCTTGTCTAAATAAAACGACATTGATAATGTCAAAATTTGAACCAACCCTACCATGAAAGTTCTAGGAAATTGTCTCAGCTCTCTAAGAAAAACAATTGGGGTCATTTGGACTTCTAAAACTTAAGATACAAGCTGAACACTGAATAGTGTCTGAGCTACAGAACAGATTTGGACTTCTTTGTTGTTACTAAGATTTGGACTTGAAAACAACCTTATTAAAACTAGTCCTCCACATGAAAGTTGTAGGCCTATGCTTTTCCTTTTCATTTATATAAAGTAGACCTAAATCTGAGATCTACAACTCCAGATATGACCCAATTACTTAATAGTGTTTCAGTTTGGACTGTACCAGCATCTCTTTTCTAAGTTTGGCTATCTCTTTGTCCTTTCAATTTTAGTAGTTAAACTCATCAATCAATCCTTTCATTTATGTAACAAGCCTGTATTTAAGATGAATATTTATTATAAATTAAAAGTATCTTATATTATTAGATATGTTATTATAAAACATGCTTTAGTTAAGGAGTTATTGATACTTCAAATGCAAAATGATGATATAAAACCTTGATAAAAATGCACTTTTAAGTACTAATCA